TAGTAGAAAAAGAAAATGTTTCTTCGTTCTATTTATTATGTCAGAAAGATTTTTTTAACCTTAATTTTTGAGTTATTTTTGTTTGTGCTTATTATTTTGATACGATCTATCTTATATTCATTTGTAATCACCATGTCTTATAGACTTAATATTGAGGTGAAACAGAATATGAAAAAATTGATTTCATGATTTTTCTTTTTTTGTTTTTGTTTTCTTCATAACATTTAATTTTTTAATCGATTTCATTTTTCTCGTTCGTTGAACCATATTTTTGACATTTCTTTTTTTGTAATGACAATATTTAACAATATCATTCATAGTAAACACGTCATATTAGTATTCAAATTGGTGTCATCATCCGATAAGATATGTTCGAAGTGACATTTAGCATACGATGTCATTGCTACAAATCATAAATCAAAAAAAATATATTTTTCATTACTTTCTTTCGATTACTGTCAGGGTTTCTTTTCTTTTTTTTTTCGTTGAAGGTAGTCAAACATATAATCATCATGAGAAAATATGCAAATATTCTTTTATTGAATGTTAAAAATACACAGAAAAAAAATATATATCAAAAAAAAAAAAAAAAAAAAGAAAGAAACACATATTTTATATAACAAACAACAATCTTATCCATTGTTGTTATAATAAGTTAACATATATTCAATTAATAATCTATACTCATACTAGACGAATTTGAAGATTGACGAAAAAATTGTTTTAATATAGATAAACATGTGATATTAGCTGATGATGATTGTTTTCTAACATGATTTGTTGTAGTTTTTGACGATAAAACGCGTCTTAATAAAGAAAATTTATGTCTTTTTATTTCTTTATGTAATTTTTTTTCATCATTCATATTAATACTATTAACAATACGATCATCCATTTTAAGTAATAGAACAGATTGATCAAATATAACAGGAAAATAATCTAATTTGAATGATGGTGGATGAAAATGTATTAATGCGCCACGTTGATATGAATATAGACAAAATTTATTTGGTAAATATGGTGGTAAATGATGATTTAATAAAGAACGTAAATGTTCAATTGTTTTATCAGACGATATATTAAATGTTATACGAGAATTATCCGATAGTCTTTCAGCTGTTACAGTAATCAATTTTCTAAAATAAATATTTTTATATTTTTATATTCAAAGAAAGAAAAAAAACAACAAAAATCAATAATCAATAATAAACTTACGCTGGGATTTTTGTTTGTTTTATTTTCATTTTATTTCCTTAATTTTTTATCTTTTCATCATTTATGATAATGCATATCTAAAAGATAAATAAAGAAATTATGAATATTTATATAGGTTAGAATGAATGTTGTTATGCGATAGTAAAAGGAGAGCAACCTTGTGTCTTTTTGCTTCACGCACATTTTTTTTTTCTCTTTTTTTTTTGCTGTTAATTTTTTCTACGCTCTATCGCGTTTGTGCTACCATCACTGTTCTGTCACTTAATTTAAAATAAACGAATAGAAAGAATATTGTAGGTAGATTATTTGATAATGAATATGATTAAGTTTTCGACGTTAGTGACGTATATCTTAATGTATCAATGAAACGAAAGAATAATATAGGTATTGATGTGTATATATATATATATATATTTATATATATATATTGATAATATTCTTCTTTTTGTTGGTGTGGCGCGTTTTTCTTTTCCTACAATCGGAGCATTATGACCTCCAAGAGATAAAACTCTGACGAAAAGGGGAGGAAAGAAGAATAGTTTGTTTTTTTTTCTCACATCCTTCAATGAAGAGAGAGGAAACCCATCAAAACATTTATAGTCAGGTTAATATGACATTATATTCATCATTTGTGGGTATTTGTGTATATTATCAAAAGATACTTTCAATCACCAATCAGCAAAAAGCAATTTAATATAGTCACCTATACAGAAATATTTTTATTACATAAAGAAAAAAAAATGAATATACAGCATTTATTAGTCACAGCGGAAGGTTAAGTAGTATTTCATAATTTTTCTAGTAGTCATCTAGTATGTTCACCTATCTAATTATCGTTAATTAGCCGAACTTCTCGAAAAACAGATTTTTTTCTATAACAATTATAAACTAAAAATAAATCACTTGACATCTATTATATATAGATTATTTTCTTTTAATAGATCTAACACCTTCATTACTATGTTAGTTGTTACCTTCGTTTTAATCGGGCATGCTAACCTAGCAAAAAAAAATGCACCTGTGCCACAGAAGAGTTTTAATAACAAGATAATACTATTGTGACTATTTAAATTTTACTCTGATGAGGATAAGGAAAAGGATTTTCTATTATTATTCGTTGACCTACATATTCCAATTTTACGATATCAATTTACTTCAACTGTATGACATGTTAACCCTCATGTATACTTTTTTTTTCAATGAAAAATTGTTTTTTTCTTATAATAGTGTATTTTTATTCGTGTTATAATTTTAGTTATACGAGTATTTGTAAAGATGAGACTATTCACAAAAATATTTAATTGAAATTTATTCTTATATGGGCACTAATCATCTTGGATATTAGCAGAAGAAAAAAAAGTGTTTTTTTTATATTTTGAAATATTTCATATGTAGATAAGAGCTGTGAGAAAAACATTGACGTAGCAAATACGACAAATGTCAAATGAAATTGGTTTATTTTTATAATTTCGATAAAGTATTGTTGACTAAAATATTCATTTATGAATATTTTACATGGAAGAAATATTCTGTCTTATTTAAAATTCATAGAAGCATCTATTCTTTTATGTTTCTAAAAATATGAATAAGGTTCAAGTTACGGTATTCTGATAAATATGAACTCACTTAGTAATGGAAAAATTCTATTTAAAAGAAAAAGAATATGTAGGGTATGTCGTACGTACTTGGTGAACCAAAAAAAATGTTTAAATTATAATCGAATTATTGTATACAAATGACAAAAAAAGCCTCAACATTATAATCAATTTTAATAGTTTTACCCATTAAAAAAGCTTCAACATCAATTATAATTTCATTTTTTTTGTTGTAGAATAATTCTATTATAATCAAAACATTTTTTCGTTGAGTCAACTCGGGGATTGATTATCTCGAAGCACCTTGTAGATTTATATTGTTTTTTTCCACAAACTTTTTCCTTTTATTGTTATATCGTAATGTCATCAGAATTTATTATGTTTGATAAATTTTCAGATTAATCATTTGATAATAGTAACAAAGAATATTGTATATCATAATAAATAACCATCGATCATATGAACAAAAATTTATGTGCGTAGTAGGTTAACATTGCAAATATTGACGATGCAAAATACACTTTAAGAGAAATTGTCATTGTGACTTTTATAAAATGTGTGACTGTTTTTATAATAACATTTGCGTTAAGCGTCGCATTGATTATTAACACAACAACGATGAGAATTATTTACTGTCTGTAAAATGACGATGTCTTATTAGAAAACTTCTACGATCATTAGGACGAAAAACCAACACGAATTTGAATGCTTATCTACAATGAATAATATTCAATTTTTAGATTTAATGAAATTTGACCTTTTTTATCAACTTACTCATGTAACATTTGTTTTTCGAGGGCATTAGTAACAGTTAGATGTCACTTTTATCTAATTATATTACAATAGAATCTTTTGAAATAGATTTATATCAATATTTTCGACTACTTTTCTTTTTGTTATATGATTCAAATAATATGCCTGGATTTTATAAATTAAACAAAAGACACATTATGTGGCAAAACTATTTAGAACTAGAAAACGCAATATATATTAACTATCAACTTAAAATGTTACCTTTTCTATTAGTAAAGGAATTGATAAACTTAAGTGAAAGTATACGAGTCGATTGTGGTAGGAACACTTCATATATCGATGCAATTTGAAGACAATATTTCGGTCCGGAAAATTGTTCGATCAACTATTTGTTCTTTCTGATAGGAAATGGCTAGAAAAATCAAGAGATATTCCGGTTCGAAATTTTGTCTTTATGTTTCATCGATTTCCGGAGTTTTCTTGCCGGATATTAGTGACTTTTCCGCATCTTTCCGATCAGTTCCTGTCACATGCACTTTCAAAATCATCGATCTGAAAAAATGTAAATACAATTATATGCGTTACTTTTGTATTTTTAAATCTTTTATATATATGACAGATGTTCACACAAGGACTTTTTATATTCTACCATGCAGAGCTAATACACCGTGCTTTTATTATATTTTTTTTTTTATCATATTCAAAAGAAACCAAAATTTTCATATTCATATAAAAATAATATTCTCACAAAGAAGAAAAAAACAATGAACATGACATGCGTAGGAAGATAGATATTAGACTTGACAGTAGGAGTAATAGAATCATTGAAGATAATAAATATAAATCTGATTGTTCCAGGGTAGAATTATGGAAATGACAGCGATCGATTTCCGGTAATTCTTTGAAAGTTGAAATTTGAATCAGAATGTTTTGAAATATTTTTCTGTTACATTCAGTTAGAAGCAATGAAATATAAAAAACAACAATTAACATCAAATTATCCCTTTCTACAGATCGTAAATGATTATTTCTTGTTGGAAGTCATAAGAAAATCGATATATATTAATGATTTCGATCATTATCAATAGCTTGCGGCGATCATCAGTTGAATAATTGAAACAGAATGCATAGTTTAATTTTTGAGTTACTATATTTTTTCTCACTGAAATATTTGATCAATAAAATTGAAATATCTATCAATGATTGTTCCATTTATTGGAGTTTCTATCTCTTTTATGTCCATCGAATACGTTCCAAATATTAGTTGATAACGTGCTTCATATCTTCCTTTTGTATATTTTGTTTTCAGAAAACAAAAAAAAAAACATCAAAAATTTCAAAGTTTTCAGTACATGAAAATCTCGCTCTATCCTAAAACAATTTGTAATGCATACTAAGAGCACATCTTCTAAAAGATTCTTTATTTGAATATACGTTTCAAATTATTGTTTCTATAGAAAGAAAAAAGAAGATTTTTTTGGTCATTGAATAATTTTATTTTAAAAATTCAAAGATTATTATTAAACTACATTTAAAAAGGATTAATATTAATATTTAAATCAAAAGTATTTTTCTTCATTTTACTAACGAAAACATCTCATAACAAACAGTAAACATTATAAAATTTTTCTAATCAGAAAAGTTTTATTTTCTGAACTATTTTCTAGTACAATTTGCACGCGTAAATGTATTTATCTTATATGAATATTATCATGCAATAGTGATAAACGTTCTACTTGATTTAGTAACATTCTGTCTTAAAATTCATACATATATCATTTTTCATACAAATATTTTAAATACAAAATGCTTCAATATGTTTTCTCATGCAGTTAACGTTCTGTCTTAATAGATAGACTTCAAACAATTCACTAATTATAAGAATAAAAATAGACAAGTATTCTAAACAAAGTCACGTAATGCAGAGTAATTCTAAAAATATACTGGCAAATACACATATTTGTGATATAACTTGCACTTGAAAATCTTTTCATGTTCTTTTACTATTTCTAAAATACTCATATCACAATAGTCGTTCAGTTCATTGCGGTTTTTTTTTAATATCTTAATAACATGAATTCTTTTCAACTCTTAGAATAATGTCAAATTGTGTCAATAGTGATATTTCCTCCTGCTGATGTGTCTTTGTTCTTTCCTCATTATCCTCTCTGCATTGTTCTACAGTGTGCTTATTTCTTTGTCTCTCTTCTATATAAACGTGTGTTGTAAGTGAAGTAGCTCAATAAACATCATTACGGAGAGTGGCGATAAATTACACCCTCAGTTTGTTGTAATAAAGAGTTTAGTCGAAATCACGCACTCTAGCAATTGTGAACATACTGCAGCGACCTGTAATAGCCACATCGACTGTTCTAGCTCAATGTACGAGTTTGATTGTTTAGTGTAGATGGCACCAGAAAATTATGCATTAGTCGAAAGATAAAACCAAGAAAAATAAGTGTACCTTCATCAAATAAAACATGCTATAACCTGTAAAAATTGTCTTTTTTTTTTGGGATGAAATCGATGTTGTCACGGAAGATAAAACCAAATTAATAGAAAATTCGAAGAATATCATCAAAAATCGTTTATATAAAGTTGACAACGGATTAACGAAATTGTCCGTGTTATATTGCAAAAGATCGAACATCGAAAGTTGAACAAAATTAGCTATTACATAT